TTAAAGATCCGCCATACTGGCCAGACTTTTAAGGAATCTGAGCATTTGTGAGCTATTGGCTAGATTGTAAAAATCTAGATTATAAGAACCAGAGCACCTTAATGGTGACAAGATGGACCTTATAAACAGAAAGACTGTGGGAGGGATCTAGGAGTGAACAAGTAGTTTGGGGTGATGGGAGGAGGGATCTAAGGAAATAATATTTCTTAGAGACAAGAGGGAAAAAATCAGTATAACTAATCTATACATAGAAAAAATACAAAAATTTGTGCAATGTGCAACACTTATGGTTCTCCCACCTCTGCAAGGAGGTGGGAGTGTCTTATCGCTTTCTTTTGTGCTATGCTTGTTCTTTATGATTTTGCAACATTCACTTTTGACTTTTTTGTACCTATTTTCATTTACATTGTTGCAATCATTGTACGTAGGGCAGCTAGGTGGCACAGTGGAGGCAGAAGACACATCTTCCTTAGTTCACATCTGACCTCAGACACTTACTAGCTGTGAGACCCTGGGCAAGTCACTTAACCCTGTTTCCTCATCTGTAAAATGAGCTGGAGAAGGCAATGGCAAATCACTCCAGTATCTTTGCCATGAAAAACCCCAAATGGGGTCACAAAGAATCAGACATGACTGAACAACAAAAATCATTGTGCGTTTTGTTTTCTTGACCCTGCTTACTTCACCCCTTTTTAGTTCATGTAGATCTTTCCATTCCTCTGTATTTATCACAATAATCATTTCTTACAGCACAGTAAAATTCTATTACATTCATATGTCACAAATTTGTTTAGCTATTTCACAACTGATGGGCATCTACTTTGTTTCCAATTCTTTATCACAAAAAGTGCTGCTATATTTTGATGCATATAGGGACTTTCCTATCAATGGCCTCCTTGGGATATAAGTCTAGTAATGGAATCTCTGAGTCAAAGGGTGACATTTTAATCACTTTATTTGCATAATTCCAAATTGATTTCCAAGTGGTTGTTGTACTAAGTCACAACTCCACCAACAATGCACTTGTGTGCCTATCTTCCCACAACCCCTCCAATATTGACTGTTCCCATCTTTTGTCATCTTTTCCAATTTGCAGAGTATGAGGTGAAAACCTCAGGGATATTTTGATTTGCATTTTTCTTATAATTAGTGATTTGGAACATTCTTTCACGTAATTGTTAATAGTTTACACTTTTTTTTGAGAACTGTTTGTTTATATCCTTCGACCACTTATCAACTGGAGAATGTCTTTTGTGACTAGTCATTTTAACCTCAGTTGCTTCATCTGCAAAATGAGGCTAATAATATTGGTTGTATCTATCTCACAGTGTTGCTCTAAGAATCAAATAAAAATGTGCTTTGCAAATCTTAAAGAGCAACATAAATGTCAACTATCATTATTATATTCTTTGGTCATTCTTACAACTCAGTACTTTTCATAGTGCAGACAACAGGGATATATATGTAACTGGAATCCTTAAAAATGATTCATTGTTCATTCATTTAACTTAGCTTAGGTCATAGTTTTCCAAACTGCAGGGTGCATCATTCTAAGGGGCTGAAGACTTTTTTGGTGGGATATGAAGCAAAGGTTGAAAATTATTGGATATTTTCAAGTACAACTAACTCCCACAGCAGGACATCTACTTTTTTCAATGAAAACAAAGTTCAAATCAAAGTCAAGAAAGCAACACTAACCCGGTGAATGTGCACCAACTAACAATAAGTACAGCACAGGGATTACTTAATATGGTATGCACAAATAAGGTCAAATTTGAGTCAGCACATGTTCAATCTCAACATCAGAATGATCTACTACAGTCAATTCTGGGAAGGCTCAAGAGACAGATGAGTTATGTTGTTGCACTGTTTGCTATCTTTTAACGTGGTTATATAAACTATCTACAATACAAAGCATTAAATAATCTGCGTGGAAGTAAACAATAACTATTAAATCTGTCATATTTCTCATTCATTTTGGTTAAGAATAATATAACATTTCCCCAAAACCTCATAACTTCTAAAAATAATTTAAAATAACTCAAGGATGGTTATGGCTCTAATGAATACATTGAGCAATCATACTTCAGAAGTCTTTTGGTGAAGCATGCCTTGTATCTCATGGTGGAGAAGTGGCAGACTAAATATATGGTATAGAAATACATTTTCAAATACGGCCAGGGTTGATTCATTTTGCTTAATTCCATACTTACTTGTCATAAGGAGAAGGGGGGGCATCTATTGTGGGATGGGAAAGGAATAAGTGGAAAGTGATACAAAAAAGAGCACCAGTTTTAAAAAGAGCACCATTAAAAGAGTGGTCGTCATTTCAAAATTTTCAGCAATTACTTTTTTTTTGTTTTTTGGTGAGGCAATTGGGGTTAAGTAACCTGCCCAGAGTCACAAGCTAGTGAGTGTTATGTGTCTGAGGCTGGATTTGAACTCAGGTCCTCCTGACTCCAAGATCGGTACTCTATCCACAGTGCCACTTAGCTGCCCCCACAGTAATTACTTTTAAATTTAATTGTCAAATGTTTATTGGTCTCTTCTTTTTTAAAAGTGAAATAATATCCCTTTGTGATGGATAAATATATAGCCAATTTGAAGAGAAAATCCACTGCAGAAGCTAAAACTAATACAAGTAAAGACAAAAAAGAGAATGTAAATGGCAAAAACATAAACACAAAATAAAGGCCAAAATCCAGAAATGATGGCCCTCTATTTATGACTAGTACACACAAATACTAATGACGAAGAGAAAACAATGTTGTTTGTTACATGTGGCTACATTAACTGCAAACATCATTAAACTTAATAAATTGAAATGACATCTTGAAAATGTACTTGTGATGTGGGCAAGGCAAGTGAATTTTTCCAGTGAAAAATTCGATGCTTTTAATAAGCAGAAGCAAACTTAAAAAAAGTCTGTGACATCAAAAGGATTGTTTGTATCTTATAAGGTTGTTTACACACTGTTAAATGTCAAAAGCCTCACTGAGAAGAAATGGTGCTACTTGCACACCTACTGGGATGGTCAGAATGATGGTTGATGAATCATATGCAAAGCAGCTTCAAACAGCTTGAGTTGCAGAAAGTACAGTGAGAATTGCCCGTATTTCTGAAGACCTCTGTGATAATTAATTAAAATCCTTCTATTTTTGCAAGTGTATGAAGCAATCAATTAAGTGAAAGATGCTTGATTATATATGGTATGTTACTAAAAAAATGTTGAGAAGACTTGTTACTTTATAAACCTATTGATAGCAATACCATACTGAGAAATTTTAAATATTAAATGGCAGATCTGTTCATGAAAATGGTATGTGGGAGAACTGTATTGTACTCTGCATTGGAAGAGCTCAACTGATTTTAGGAAGAAACATAGGCATTCAAGAATGTGCTAAAATTATGGCACCTTATGCAATTTGGATATTGCATACTTCACACAGTTACTTGTATTGAAAAATACCAGAGAAAGGTTGGATAAATTTTCCACGTTGTTATAAGGGTAATCAATTTGACACCCTAACCCCAACAAGTTGCATGTAAATGTAAAAATTACATGTATGTACAAATTGTTTCCTCTTTAAAATATAAACTTCTTGAGGGCAGGTACTGTTTCATTTATGTCTTTGTGTCACCAGTGCTTAGCACAGTGCCTAGAACATAGCAGACAGTTAGTTAATGTTAACTGACTTAATGATTAATCAAATTGTGTGATAATATCACGACAGAGCATAAGGCTCTATATCATTGCAAAGCATGATCATTTTTTCTTATCCAAAGTATCTGAAAGGATGTTTTGAAGCAAATTCATTTTATAACAATTGCCTCTTGAAATTTGCATAGTTAGGGGATATTTTTGAAAAGCTGAGGACTTGAAAAAACAAAACAGGGCAATGTCCTAAAATTCATTATCTCATCCTGAAGGATAAAATAATTGCATTGATGAAAAGTTAGAACTATGGATAATAAATATGAGTATTCCCATATATTTTGCAACTAAAAATACTTGCCATGAAAGTGAAATGGAAGAAAGCAAAGACCTTATTAATCACTCAATTGGTGTACAGAAGCAACTCTAATTTTAAAGACCTAGATATTTCTGACTATGAATGCAGAAGGAACCTATTTGCCAAGGATAAATATCATATTTAGTTGTATTCCATCTGAATAAGAACAGTTAATAGACTTATCTTGTTATAGTACCATAAGGAGGCAGCTAAATGGCTCAGTGGATAGAGCACTGGGTCTGGAGCCAGGAAGACCTGAATTCAAATTTGACCTCAAACACTACTAGCTCTGTGATCCTGTGCAAGGCACTTAACTTTTGTTTGCCTTAATCCATTGGAGAAGGAAATGGGAAACCATTCCATGGGGTCACAAAGAGTCAGTCATGATTGAAGGACAAGTACCCTGAAGCAAGTGTCTGATTCTGAAAAGCTTATGCTTTGGTTGTAGGTGAATAAAGAACTCTCTGATTTATCAAACAAAGTGATACAAATTTTACTACCATTTACAATATCTTTCTGCATTGAAATGAGATTTTCTGCTGAAGGTAAAACTAATAAGTAGCAATGTCATCAATGAAAGGACATTTTGAGAAACTTTATGCTGAAAAGCAAGCCCACTCATCACATTAATATTACTGTTATGATTATTTTTTATAAATCACAAATATGAAAATTATAAATTATTTATCAATAAAATCTATGCATTTATGTTGTTTTATTACGTATTTAAGATTGTTATAAAATTATAATAAATTCTTAATTTTATTTGAGTAAAATACAAGCTAAGAAACTTATCTGCATAGGTTGTTTTATGAAGCGTTGGGGAGCAATATTTTGGGGAAGAACTACTTCTACATAAAATTTGGAAACCGTTGCTTTAGGTTTCACTACTCGACTCACTACTGTTTGCAACGGATGTTGTTTATGGCTAAAACAATGCACTGAAACTGACGTCTCAAACAATTATAAGGCAGAACAAGAAAAAAATAGACTTCACATTCCCCTCTGAAACTTTATTATAACACATGGATCCAGCAGGCAAGGAACACAATCATTGTGTTTACAGTAGTAAAGAGAGAGGGAAGGAAAAAAAGGCAGCATAATGTAAAGATATTGGAAAATCACTGACCATGTATAAATGGTGAATCCAGTAATGCCAAGGCTGGGGGTTGAAAGTCATTCTCACTGACCTCAAAACACCTCCTCCTCATGTCTGACTTCAAACCTGGGATAAAATATTCCAAACTAATGATTCTCTTAAATTTTCCATGTCCTCCCCAAACCTCTCTCCTTTCTGACTGTGGAGTCCATACACAGCTGACATTCACCAAACAGAAGAAAGAGAGGAAATGACACAGACAGCCTAGCCTGGGGCATATCTATATACCAGCTGGACGTCAATTAGTGCCTATAAGTTCTAGGTAAACAAGGACCATTCAATAACTTAAATTTACTTTTTGTCTCCCTGTGTTTACAGCATAAACAAAGAGAGACCTTCAGAACAAGAAAGGTCATAACTGGATTCCCTCAAAAAAACTGTATCAAAGTTTCAAGTTGAGAAAAGTTGTCATTGATTAAACCAGGAAGGAAGATCCTCTCATTTTGCTTACCCATCCTTAACACCCATCAAGGGGACAGTTTTTCTTATAGGGGAAAAAAAACCGTAAGAAAATGAGGTAGCTTTTTTAGGGAGGAACACTGCACACTGAGAGAAACTTCACTTCTTAGTCTTGTTCCCAGTTATTCTCTCTCAAATGCCACCTTGCCTGTATCAAGGACTGTTGAGAGAAGACGTCAGAAAAACAGGTAGCCCGAGGATCAAGGTGAGATGACAGAAGGATGTAGAATGATGAATGCCCCACTAAAATTATTTCAGGGAAATTTGGAGCCTGGGTCTCAACTCCAAATGCTAAGTTCCAAGGAATAAAGAAGTCCAGGGAACAAAAGTTTATTTATGCCAGAAACCATCATTCCACTTAAAAGGTAAGAAAGTGAAAAATCAAGGCCTCTGTGAAAGCTTTTGGAGTTATGAATGTTTCCAATTTGTTTCTGAAGAGGTTTAAAGTTTCTTTTTCTGTTAACTTCCTATCTGCCGGCCCAGGGCTCAGGACCATTTTAAAAGTTGCTTTACTAACTATAACTATCTAATTACAACATTCTTTCACCGTATGCATATTTTTTCAGTCTTGACCCAGAACAGATGGTCCCAATGGCCACTTACTGTCTGATGGGTGAATGATTTAAGTATAGGGCTTCCTGTTAGGTGATTAAATTTGGTGATTCAATTTTATAATAAAGGACATTATTTTTTCTTAAAATAAGTTAGACTTAAAAGTGCCATGCTACTATAATGTAGTTTGCCCCAAATAGGTAAAATGAGGTCAGCTGCCACTGAGATAGAGATTATCTTACGTATAACTTGGAAAAAGGAAAGAGTTCTTTCTCAGGGCACTTATTGACTCCTGGTACCTTAATATTGGTGTGAACAGACTCGGATTTCCTAATTAAAATCATCCTTCCCCCCAATCCCCACTGGCTCTCGAATATATTTTTCCATGAAAATTAAAGTGGGGGGAATCGGGTGCTGGAACTGTTCACAAGTCCTACAGCAGGAAGTGAACTGTACAGTATGGGCAGAATTTGAGATAATGACTGTCTTTCACCACCAGGTGCCAATGTGGAAACACATTATGGCACAATCACCACTAACTGAAGACATCAGTCAGTTACTGAAGATGTGTCCATTTCAGCAACTACAAAGAAACGCTGGAACTCATATTCCCTTAATTGACATACCCTGGATCTGATCTCCCTTCTCTGGCAATCACCCAGTCAGGACACACATCTCTCATTGCAGCAAAAAAGAAATAAATCACAAAAATAAAAATCTAAAATCTTCTCATTCGTATAAAACCAAAGTAAAGACCCAGCTTACACATTTTAGCCACTTGGCTATGTTCCATGAAAGTCTTTTTCTCTCTTCTGTTTTAAATAAATTCTATTCCTTCATATTTTACGCTCCCAATCCTGGTCTCTGGGAGAAGGAAGTGTCCATCGAGAGTGAAGGCCATGATGTAGGTAGCAATTTTGCCATTATCTTCTTCTGATTTCAGGGCCACGATGATTTGGTCATCTGTGTTAGGAATGAATTTGAAGGAAGAGAAGCCATGTGTTGGGGTTATTTCCCCAATATGGCTCACGGAGATGTCTCCAAAGTCTTGAGCAGAGCGCAGGAGAAGGTTGGTACCCCTGTGTTCATCTTCCTTCTCATCGTAACGTTCATGGCTGGCCCGACGGGGCAAGAAAAACCATCGCTGTAATGTATCGCTCCAACAAGCTGACTCATGAATTAGGTAGCCTAGGGACATGCACAAAAGGCATATGGAGTTAACAAAGTCTATGAAAGAGGTGAATAAATTCTGGTCTCTACCCATATTAAGGGGTAGAGACCAACTGAAAGCTGTCACTCTACATCTCCCCTTCCTTACAATCAGAGCCACTTGCACTCAAATCAGCTGCTAGTGCCCTGAATGCAGAAGAAGAAAAGTCTGAATATGGAATTCAGTTTTCCTTGGATATTTTCCTTGGATACAAGTTTAGCTCTTTTCACAGGTTCATAGGCCATTTTGATGCTGTACTAATTGAGTGTTTTTCCATAAGCCCCAGCTTTATTATTCATCTTCTCTTTAGAATTTCACATTTTTCAGGAAGATTTTACACTCTGGCTTTGTTCTTAATTACCCAGGGAAATAAAGAGCAGGGGAAAGAGGACCATTTAAATTTTAAAGCCTTATTATTTTAGTCATTAATTTGAATTATCTCCCCTCTTTCTCCAAAGCAGCTAACCCTATAACCTTGAATTTTCATTCTGTTCTTTCCCCCACGTTTTAATGGAGAGGTGGAGGAGCAACGAAAGAGTTAAGGGGAGGGACGCAGGATTAGCAGAGATTCTAATTTGTGAGGCTGGAGAGGAGGCTGCAGTGAGATGCTAGAAGGATTGCCCTAGAGCAGGCTGCGATGATAGCCTAGGAAGAAATTTACAAAAGAGGATCATAACCCTCATTTTTACAGATAGAAAAACAGAGTCAAGTAATTTGCCTAAAGAAACAAAAGGGATCAATAGCAGCTGACCCAAACTCAGAGACTTACTGCTTACCACGTGCAAAACACTATTCCCTACACTGGGGGTACAAATAGAATAGACAGTCCCTGCCCTCGAGGAGCTTATATTCTAACAGGGGAGACGATGAATATGGAAGGTTTCAGCTACAATTCAGGTGGAAAGGTCCCATGGTCCTCAGGGTGCAGAGACAAAGCAGATGGGGATGCCTCTTCTTTAAAGTCGTTTCCACTGATAAAATCATATCAGTTTCTGATGTCAAAGCACTTGACAATGAGTTGGAAGTATTGCTGTTCCAAAAGCTCTGGGGTTTAGGGTCCCGGTCTATCTCTACCGTGAGATAAAAAGGCCTCAGGAATTGTATTAGATGTATTCCAATGTCTACTGAGAACCAGATATGTCTAAGCAGGAAGTTGCTGAGTTCAGATTACTATCTACACAGGACCACAGTAGACTTAAAAGGAAGTTAGCTTCACAGAATGGAGAAGGAAACAGAATAAGGGATCTGGAAATAAGAAAAATTATTATATGGGAAAACAGTTTTTGAAACATTCTCCAACACTTCACTGACATAACAGGATGATGGTCCTGGGTACCTACTTACATGCTTATATTTTAAGGCAAGGGGCTCAAATTACCATTTTGGCTGGGATCATAGAAAAAAGTTAAAGCTTTCTTTTTGGCCTTCTGGCTGTCCAATCCAATCTAATCCAGGAGGGAACCCCTAGAACATCTTACCTGGGGGGCGAATCCCAGCTGCATCTCTCAAAGCATTGTAGTTAGACACCCAGTTTTCATGATATACATTGCCTTTGTAGCCAATCACCTTTACCCACTCAGGGTTTTCATTCATCACTTCACCGGTAGTAGTGGTCCACTCCTTGCCCAGGCCTCCGACATACAGATGCTCATCTTTCACAGCCAGCCATTCAGCTTTAAAACCTAAAGACAATGACACTCAGAGTTACAGTGTCTCCACTGAGCTAAGATAAGATACCTCTGGTCAAAGCATATCACTTTAAAAAATTCACTTATTGTCCCAATGGGGCAAATTCCCTTAACCCTCAGGAGCCACTAGCATTAAATAATCCATAGAAATAAAAGGAAGACTAGGAAAGAGAGGTTAGAAGTTGAACAATCCTTTCTTGTTCTAGCATATACTCAGTACCTTTCTTCCCTTCTTGATGCCCCCCAATATGTGACTATTGGATGGACAGAAGCACCATCTGAAATGGTCCAATGCAATCTGTTCCTGGAAGATCAATGCCCCCCCCCATATAACTACATATAACTGTACACACACATACATACACATACACACAAAACTCCATATAAAACTATACACATACATACATACATACACACACACATACATCCTGATTGCCTGAATTCAGTATTTTGGCTGCTAGGTGGCACAGTGAGTACAGTGAACTGGAGTCAGGAAGACGAGTTCAAATTGTGCCTCAGACACAGCTGTGTGACCCTAGGCAAATCATTTACTCTCTCTTAGCTTCAGTTTCCTCATCTGTAAAATGGGAATAATAACAGCACCTGCCTTTGTTCTGTGGATCAAAAAAGAGAAAACAGGTAAAGTACTTTGTAAACTTTAAATTGCTATATAAATGCTAGGTATGATGATGATGATGATGTTGGTGCAGCTAGGTGGCTCAGTGGATTGAGTGCCCCGCCTGGGCTCATCTTCCCGAGTTCAAATGTGGCCTCAGACACTTACTAGCACTGTGACCCCAGGCAAGTCACTGTTCGCTTCAGTTTCCTCATCTGCAAAATGAACTGAAGAAGAAAATGGCAAACCGCTCCAGTATCTTTGCCAAAAAAATCCCAAATGGGGTCATGAAGATTTAGACGCAACTGAAAAATAACTGAACAACAATAATGACGATGATATTACCATCTCCTGCAAAAAAAAAGTCACTGGTAGCCACAGTCATTACAAGAAAATCTTCACAACTTGTAGGTAATCTTACTTATCCCTATCTCAAACAAAGCTCTCCTAAATGATGATTTAACCTTGTGGGTTTTCGTTATATAACTAGCTATATCTAAGGAGATGGGCCGCAATTCAAATCTTCAGTCTGTCTCCTGACAATTTCTACACTGTCTGATCTAGCCAGGAAAAAAGTGGCAGGCATCTGCTACACTATTCACACTGAATACTCGTCCTGAACCTTGGGCAACATGGAAGAGATTTTATGTATCCAGTGCCACTGCTCACCACAGTCTTTATTTTTTTTTTTTAATTACAATCCATTGAAACTTGGAAAGGCTACTGTTGAGTTTAAGAAGCACAGATTGGGCAGAGCATTAGAGCCGAGCTCAGTCTACATACGTGAAATATCTATGTCCTCATATTCCTCTGCTAAGGCTTTCCTTCCACTCCATGCCGAAGAACCTTTCTCTATTGCTCTGTTCTTTTTTTCCTATTATGAGCTAGCTTGCTTTGCTCCAGTGTTTCGGTCTAGTCTTCTGAAATGAATCTTTTTTTTGGGGGGAAGATATATATGCATAGAGAAATATATGGCCATAGAGCTGTCACTCATGGCATGGAAGTCCAATTTTAATTAGATGGGATTACAGGATCATAGATTAAGAGCAGAAGTGACTTAGAGATCATCTAATGATCTCTAATTTTTTAGGTAAGGAAAAAGAGGCCCAGAGTGTTTAAGTGATTTGTTCCAAATAAGTATCAAAGTATCAAATAAGTATCAAAGAGGATTTAAATCCAGGCCCTCTGATTCCAGAGGTAGTGCTCTTTCCACTGTACCATGATGTCTCCCTATAACAGTATCTAAGGTTTAATAGTATGTATGTACACACACACACACACACACACACTTACACACACACGGAAATGAAATAAGCTTCTTAACTAGCACAAGGACAGGACAGGGGAAAAGATCTTGCCATATATCTAAGAACAAACATTTAAGCCTTAACCTGAGAACCAATTTAAAACTTTGTCTATAAAAGAAAATTATTTTGTGGCAATAACGCCAAGGACATGATTTCTTTTAAGAAATATAAACAGGGGGTTGGGAATAAAGACTCATTTATTCAGAAAAGAAACCTATTACTAGAAAGATTTAAATGACATTGAATTCAGCCCTGGACATTTTCCTTGCAGAATTCTTTAATCCTGAGGAGCAGAACACTATTTATTCTAGCTTTATTACTTCGGATAGAAGTGGCAAAGATAGGCTCTTAACCATGTCCCAGTTTGGTTTTTTATTACAAATGGGCAAAACTCTTCATCCACTACCACCAGTTACCCTCAGAAAATAAAATCTGTTCCAATTTACCTTTTCCCACTGTACCATCTCCATCTGACAGGATCACCCAAGGCACTGTCTTAGTGCCTTCAATCTGGTAGACCACCCCAGTTCGATCATCCACCGAGTAGAGCTTCCCATTGAAAACAATCAGCTCTGAGAGTTCCATGCCCCTTCCTTTTTCAGCCAGGTGGGATTCCAGGATGCCATCCTCCTTATCCCACTCTACAGTCACTTTGTCTCCACTCTCTGACAAGGTCAGGTGGCCCTTTTTCAGGTAACTGAACCAGGTATTTTCCTTTTTGGCCCTGGATTCAGTGTCCAAGTCAGCAATAACTGCAAGTCGGTATCGAACTCCATTCGGAGTCTTCTGGGGGGGAGAGAGAGGATAGGTATCATTGTACCGGTCAACAGAAAACTGACTAAGCCTCCGGTTGTGGGCGTTGGGCTGAATTGGTCTTCCTGTGGATGAACGGTGAAGGAAGCACAGCAACAATAGCACAATACCAAAGCACAGCGAAGATACTACGATTGCCTTCCAGCGGAGTCGAAAGCGGGGGTCAGCAGCTTTGGTCATGGACGCAAGGACAGGAAGGCCACCCACAGTTATCCGAAGGGAGTGCATAGAATCATTCCATTCCAAGTGGTCATAGGGTTGGACGGGCATCAGACTGAAAGTCAGCAGGGACCTACGTATCCAAAAAGGCAACAGAGATGTTAGTAACCTTGAAAATACAGTCAACTTTCAATTATTTCAAATTAGATTCTTTCCAGTCCAACTTTTCCAATTGAAGTCTTGCTTTTCATACTTACCTAACATTATGACTCTCCTTAATTAAATCCTGTGAATATGTTAGCATGCTCCCCATTTGCTTTTGTCTAGCAAGAAGAGTTTAAAACAAGAATTTGTTTTAAAGCAAAATAGTTTTCTTTCCCCTGTCCTAGACAAGAGGACTGATAGCTTAAAGTGAGCTATTCTTAGGCTGGTGCTTTCGCATCATTGGTACGGTGTGAGCAACAGTAAAAGACCTGAGTAAGGGGGCAGGTGAACAGTCTTATAGATCCTCCTGTCTCAGATCTTCATTAGGTTTCTATATGAACAACAGTCATACCTATACATGGCCAAGAAACACACCAACAACAAAAAAAAAAAATTACGGTTTCTCTGTCATCTCTCATATTGCTCTCCTGTAATAATGCATAATGTTGTGAAGAGACTGCTTTGTAATTTTAAAAGTGCTATTCAGACACCAGCTATCATTATTACTATTGTTATTAAAATCAAGGGATGACTAAATTCAGATGAGCTTCCACTGTCTAGAGCACCAGAAATTCTCTATGCATAGGCTTCACCTTTTGGCACAGACAAGGTCTTTGGCTCCTTCTGAGTAATAAAATCAACACACAAACATTGAACTTTGCGTTACAAGAAATACAGGTCTTCTGGTTAAGATAGCTGCCTGAAGGGATGCAGAAAGCTCAGCTCCCACATCCCTATTCTAGTGAAAAACTGGGTAGTGCAAAATGAAATAATAATCAAGAAATCTAGTAAGCAAGTACAGCAAGTGACTTTCTCTACTCCAGAACTGCATAAAAAGTCAGACAAAAGAAGTAAGCCCAGCAGTCAGCACCTGTGGTAGCCTCACAATGGACTGGAGACTGATCAGATACAGCTAGTTGTAGGTTATAAGGTTCTGTATCTAGTCCCAGGGCAGTCACGGTGGGGACCTTGGAAGCAACTGGGAGTGACAGTGTTCAGACTAGGGTAACCCCAGGTCCTTGGGTTCCAAAGTCAATAGCATTTTGTCCTGAGATACATTGAGGGCTCTGAAGATCTAATATTCTGAATCTCAAAGATCTGAGGGGTGGAGGTAAGGTGTTAACCCAAGAAAGTTAAGGTCAGTGTAGGAATACAGGTGACCCAGGTGGCAGTCTGGCTTTAGCAAAAGGATTTAGCTTAAGCACTCAGGCTGAAGACATGAATAAAGCAAAGAAGATACTGGAAAATATAAAGAATTATTGTAGATACCAAGATATTCCAAAATCTAAACTAGAAAGAGACTAAGTCTGTTAAAACTGCAAGCAGAGACTCAAAGGAAAAAAATTCATTTTCTACAAAGACTATATGAATACCTAGGAGAAATGAAACAAGAAAAAAATGAAATAAAAGCTCTGGAGAAAAGAATTAGAAGGAGAATAAACAGCTTAGGAAAAAAATGGCAAGCTTTACCTAAGTAATAGACTCCCAGAAAATCAGAATAGACAAAATAGAAATCAATGATTCCATGAGACAGCAAGAAATACTGGAACAAAATCAAGATTAAAAAAAAAAAAAGGTAAGGTAAACAAGTGACTTGGAAAACAGCTCCAGAAGAAATAATTTAAGAATCAGTGTACTCCCTGAAAACCATGATTTAAAAATAAAAAAAGTCTGCATGTTACATTTTTTTCTTAATAGTATTTTATTTTTTTTCCAATTACATATAAAGATAATTTGCAACATTCACTTTTATAAGATTTTGAGTTCCAAATTTTTTTCTCCCCTCCCCCCTCCTCAAAACAGCATGTAATCTGACATAGGTTCTACATGTACAATCATATTAAACATATTTCCACATCAGTCATGTTGTAAAAGAAGAATCAGAACAAAAGAGAAAAACTACAAGAAAGAAAATAGTATACTCCAATCTGCATTCAAACTCCATAGTTCTTTCTCTGGATGGGGATAGCATGTTCCATCTTGAGTCTTTTGGAATTGTCTTAGATCATTGTGCTGCTGAGAAGAGCTGTCTATCAGAGTTGGTCATCGAACAGTGTTGCTGTTACTGTGTACAATGTTCTCCTGGTTCTGCTCACTTCACTCAGCATCAGTACATATAAAGTCTTGCCAGGATTTTCAGAAATCTGCCTGCTCATCATTTCTTATACCACATCTTGTTCAGCCATTCCCCAATTGATGGGCATTCCCTCAATTTCCAATTCTTTGCCATCACAAAAAGAGTTGCTATAAATACTTTTGAATATGTGGGTCCTTTTCCTTTTTTTATGATCTCTTTTGGATACAGACCTAGTAGTGGTATTGCTGAATCAAAGGATATGCACAACTTTATAGCCCTTTGGGCATAGTTCCAAATTGCTCTCCAGAATGGTTAGATCAGTTCACAACTGTACCAACAGTACATTGGTGTTCCAACTTTCCCACATCTTCTCAAAATTTTTCATTTTCTTTTTTTGTCATATTAGCTAATCTGATAGGTGTGAGGTGGTACCTTAGGGTTATTTTAATTTGCATTTCTCTAATCAATGGTGAGTTAGAGCATTTTTTCATATGACTACGGATAGTTTTAATTTCTTCATCTGAAAACTGCTTGTTCATATCCTTTGACCATTTATCAATTGGGGAATGACTTGTATTCTTAGAAATTTGACTCAGTTCTCTATATATTTTAGAAAGGAGGGCTTTATCAGAGACACTGGTTGTAAAAATTGTTTCCCAGCTTTCCTGCACATTATATTTTAAGAAATCATTTGAAAGATTCCACCAATCACTTGAAAGACACTTAAAAAGAAATGGTCCCAGCAATGATAGCCAAAATTCAGAGCTTGCATGTCAAAGAAAAAAATATTGCAAGCAGCCAGGAAGAGTTTAAATACCAAAAGAACTATAGTAACACAAGAAGACCTAAAGAGAAAATCTTGGAATACAATGTTCCAAAAAGTAAAAAAGATAAGTATCTTCTCTATTGGGGAAAAAAATGGACCTTTAATGAATCAAAGGGTTTTCAAGAATTTCTGATGAAAGATCAGAACTGAATAGGAACTTTGAAATGCAAAATACTGACTAAAGAGAAATCTACCAAAGTACATTTATTTAAGCAATTACATGTATTATGTACATCATATGTATTATGATGAAGGGCTAACATTCTAATAATGTTAGAGAATGAGAAGAAACAAGGGCCCCTTCAGAATGTTAAAGTTTTCAAAGAGTATTAAGGGAGTTAATTGAGAAAACAGAGGGCCTGGGGATGGACTGCGTGTTTGAAAAGAGGAAAGAGAACGGAGGTTTAAAAGGAGGAATACACTAATGTGGAAAGGAAGAAGAAGGAATGAAACTTGCTATCTCTCCAAACTGGAGGGTTCCAAAGAAGAGTGTGCAGAGATGGAGAAAAGGGTCGGAGAAGAGGCCGACTGGGAACCTCATTCTTATCTGAACCAGACAAAGGAGAGCTGAACACACACATACATTCACACCCACAAACTTAGGTGTAAGAATAGTAAACTCAACAAGGAAACAGGTGGGGAGTGACAGGTAGATAATTCTGGAGAGGAAGGAGTCACCACAAGAACAAACTTGCTGATCTCAAAGGGAGAATGAAAAGAAAAAAGAGAAGAAAAAGATCTGGGAACTAAGGAGGCATCTATCAACTGTAGAATGGCTAAACAAATTGTGTTTTATGAATGTGATGAAATATTATTGCCCCATAAAACATGACAAAAGAGATGATTTCAAAGAATCATGTAACGTATGAACTGATGTACAATGAAAGAACAGGAGAAGAATATATACAATGGTAGCAACACTACAAAGAAAAAACAACACTGAAAGACTTAAAAATCCTGACTAAAGCAATGACCAACCACATCTCAGGAAATTCTGTTACTCACCTCTCTAACAGAGAGCTAATCACTCAGGTGCATACAAAAATATATTTTTGGATATGCCACTGTGGATTATTTTTTGCTTTATTATGTTTATTTGTTCTAAGGGGTTTTTTCCCTCCTGTTTTAATGAGGGAGGTGGGGAAGGGAGTATTGACTGTAATGCTTTAAAAAAAAGAATAAAAAGGCAGAGGGCCACTGAAACATTTTTAAAAGTGCATAAAGGAGAACAGAAGGCAATTCAGAAGAACAAAGATAAGTAGGGTAGTTTTGAAAGTAACACATAGAATTTAGCACAGACTTTTAAAAAACGCAAGCAGTATGGAAAAGAGATTTATACTTTCATGTTACTATACTTTATGAATTTTACTTTGTGTAAGTGTTTTGTATTTGTTAAATTCAGAATAAAAGAAATCAAATTTAGAAAAAGAAATGCAGTAATAGGGTTAAGAATTAGAGATCTTCAATATCTTCACCTCCCCCCATTCTCCAAAATGCACAGTGTAGAGAACTTACATGGTCAAAAAGCACTAGGCCAAAGTATGGCCCAACAAGATGAAAAGCTGTCCCACAGCTGACCACAAGGAAAGCATGTTGGGAACTGGCAAATTTCCAGCCCAAGATAACCTGGATGGTTGATCGGAAAGGTATATCACTCCGGGCGGGGAGAGGAGCGCAGTTTGGTGTGGGCGTGTAGGCCGCAGCGACCCTGGATCATGGTGGGGTTCCAGCCCCAGTTCCCTAGCAAGGCCCAGGGTGGTTGCTGCCTCCTGAGCTTCTGGCCCACAGACTGAAGGGGAATCGAGTGGCTGATCAGAGGGGGATTGCAGGGATCTCTTTGCTGGTGCAGGATTCTCTTGCTTTGCCCGTGCTTGGATCTGGGTCACAGTTCTCTGTGGTGGTCCTGGGGCGACGAGGAGCGCTGGCGTGGTGGAGCTTGTAGTGGCGGTGGAGAGGAAATCATCCTCACAGTTCCAAGACAGAAAAGAGTGCTCATAGACTACAGCACAGGCCAGGAAAGGAGTAA